ACTCCTAAAATGCTGGGATTGCAGGTGTGAACCACTGCACCTGGCCACTACTAATTTTTGATGTAGATTATGACACTTCAGGCTGGGTGCAGTGGCCCATGCCTGTAATCCCAGCACTTTGGGAGGCTGAGGCAGGTGGGTCACCTGAGGTCAGGAGTTTGAGACCAGCCTGGCTAATATGGTGAAACCTGGTCTCTACTAAAAATACAAAAATTAGCCAGGTGTGGGAGGCTGAGTCAGGAGAATTGGTTGAAACCAGAAGGTGGAGGTTGCAGTGAATGGAACGGAGATTATGCCACTGCACTGCAGCCTGGGTGATAGAGCAAAACTCTGTCTAAAAACAAAACAAAACAAACCCCAAAAACCACAAAAACAAAAAACTTCTTCAGATTTGTGTTTTGGGGTTTTCATTTGGTTCTGGATATCACTTTGTAGAGAGTGGCCAATGAGGACATTATATTCAATTTCACATTCATCAACTGACTTGAGGATAGAATATTCCTCAGTTAATATTTTACGAAGTGTAAACTTTCACTTTTATTTATTTACTTTAAAAATTATTTTTTAAAATAGAGATGGGGTTCTGCTCTGTTGTCCAGGCTGGTCTTTAACCCCTTGGGTCAAACAGTCCTCCTGCCTTGGCCTCCAACGTGCTGGGGTTACAGGTGTGAGTGACTGTGCCTGGCCTAAACTTTCACTTCTGAGCTTACTATTGTTGAAAGATGTCTTGCAAAGTAAAAAAGCACCATCAAACAATAACAATACTTTTAGGTGCACCTCATCTAAGAAATGACTGATCATTTTGGCCAGGTTGGTTTCTCTATGGTCCTGAGGCAGTACTTCCAGCCTCCTTTCCCTGCACGTATTCTTCCACACACCCCTAACCTATGTCCCTCACATATCTCAGGGACCCCACCAGCTATGCCTTGGCAGTTCTGTGCATTTTATAGACCAGAGCCTGGCCATGGCAGACCTAGTTGGTGAGCTCCAAGGGTTCAGGGCAGCAGCTGTTGGAGAACTCTTTTGCCATCACAAGTGCTCTTCCTGGATACAGAGTTGTCCTTGGAAGCTTTTGCTTGTCTGAGGGTCTTTTTTTTTT